TCTTTCATGACTTGTCCAGTACTCGAACCGGTACCTAAATATGTAGACGAATTGCGTGCAGCTGTAGAGAAGGGAAGTTATTCTTGTGGAATAATGGGTGGCAGTGGTCTTACTGTATTCTTAACGGTAGGTAGTTGTAGACTTCGTTTATTTTAATGTAATTACTAAACTATTTTATCCATATTTATGATTTATCCCTAATTTATATCAATATAATTTTTCATTGTTTTACATTATGATATTTATATAATAGTCAGCGAAATCAGGTCCAGCCAAGGTGTTTGGAGACCACATAAGAGAAACAAACAACTTATTTTCAGAAGAAGACGGTTTGGACAGAGTGTTGAAGGATCGATTTGCTTATATCAAAGACGAATATGCACTGAAACACGTCCCAGAAAAATATCAAAGAGAAAATTTATTACTTTCTCGAGATGCCATTTTGACTTTTCCTATAGGATATGCAATGAGAAAAGGATACAAATATAAGGAATTAATCAATGCAATGTAATGTATTTGACTTCTAATTATTAGTTATTTTTAAGTATATATTAACATTTATGAGTTTTGTTGTATTTTTTCAACAATTCTAGTATAATTCGCCTGTTTGAAGCAGGTTTAACTAACAGAGATATGGATTTAGATCACGTTCGAAATATGGAATATTCTGATGAAGTACGACCGTTGACAATTGACGATATTCTGAGTCCTCTTGCTCTTCTGTTTATCGGGTATCTGCTCTCTGTTTCTTGTTTTATTGTTGAAATATCTTTTGTTTCCATAACACAAATCTGCAAAACCGAAATAAGAATCAGCAAATAGTTTTGTACAGTAAACAAAGACATTTCTCTATGATTGAATCTACATTCTCTTTGCACGAATAGTTCATATAAATATATACGTATTAACTCAAGCAATTTTTAAATTAAAACAAGAAATTCTTCTTGTCTCTGGGTTTTTCTACTCCGGATCCCCGGATATGGGCCTAGCCGAACCCACAAAGTAATGAGGTCAACTTAGTGTTTACAATATAGAATGAGTTGGACCGAATGAACACTAGAGCTACGATGAAACTTGTTCATGAACCTTCACTGCACCTATACGAAACATCTAACGATATGAAGTATAAACTGGCTTCTAATGGTATAAAAGAATCAAGATGCTTTATTGTATACAATAAAATACACAAAAAATCGATAAAAAGTTTACTTACAAGAAATTTAATTAAAATTACTATATTTTATATACATGTTTTATTATATCAACATTAAAACCTTTCGTTTTATTGAACGGTTAATTTGGTGTTACCTGCTCTTCCTAAAATTGCAGCACTTTTTATAATGTAAAGTCTTCTAGGATCCTCGAATACACACGTTATTCACGCACTAAATTAAAAGAAAATATTGAAGATGTAAAGAAAATATCTATAATATAATATCATCAATTACTTGATTTAAGTGAACGAGAAGAAACTAGAAATATTATATTATATTGCTGTTAAGTCAAGATAAGTTACTAGTAAAATCAGTAGGTTGTCATTTCTATTTTGCTGTATGTAAATATTGCAAACGTATTGACAGTGCCATTAGTGTAAATGTAATAGAAATTGTATATCTAATAACATGTAAATTACTGTTTTATTTCATTAAAAACACACATATTATTAATGCAGCATTTATTGTAATCCGGAATCTTCAAAAATGAATTGACATACCAGTATTCCACACTTGTGTGAATTGTATGTATACCAGTACATGTCTAGAAAATAAATAACAAATGCATATGAATCGATATTTATGAATTAAGTCTATTTAAATTTTTTCCTATTTTACAATCGTAAAAAGTAAAACCCTCGCTATGTGCATGAAAAACAGAGCAAACTTAATTTACATTAAAGCTTAATTTTTCGTAAAACCACTCTGATTTTAATCAACTAAAAATCGAGCAACGAGTTTAAGTTTAACTTTTCTATTAACATTTAAAATTCTGATGGCGTCTTTTGCGATGATATTTTAATATTAAAAATTATATATTTTGAATTAGTATAAACTGGCAAAAAGATTTATTTTGAAAGTGGGAATGGGTTTTGTAACAAATTATAAATGTTATAACGAGTAAAATTGTCATTAAGTCTGACTTTACTCGACATATGACAAAGACGATCCAATTTATCTTCCCAACCCCTGAACTTTTAATTAGCAAAATTTAACACCATCAATCCTCCTAACCCCCAAACCTCCTTCCAAAATTTCACATATATTCGTTAGTAAGCACAAAAAGTTATTAAGCTTGAAAGAGGGTGAACGAAATTGTGTCTAACACGCAATAACACCCAAACACACATACCACCGAATTTTTTTGCATTTCTTATTTTAAATTTCTGATTCCAAAAATGTGAAAATTTTGAAAATCATTTTTTTATTGATTGGCATACATTCCTCTTTTATATATTACACACCAAGGAAAGTAGATAAGTCTTACTTTAACAGTTCAATCAAAGAAATCGATCAGCAGAAATAGCATAAATCGGATGAAAGTTTTATTTGCTGTAATAAATTCGTTTTACACAAACAATTTCAAATTTCATAACAAACTTTAGTATCATCCAGTGTTAGGCATACCAACAAATATTTTTTTGCATTATTTTATTATTCAGCAACTATAAGAACATTTTGATTAGACCATTCATTATTTAAGATAAAGCTGTGAATATTTTGATGGACTGATTAAACGGAGAATCGTTACATTAACTGGAAACAGTTCCGACTTCAGATAGCAATGCCTTGCAAGTGGCATCTTCGGGTTTGGAATTTTGGCACACGACATCAGGTAAGTTTGACACAGAAAATGCTATAAATTTCCTCACGAATTTTATAGCTTCGACTCCGCATTATTTCTCTATTAAATCGGCTCCACGGTTTCGGAATCAACGATAAAAACTACAAACAAATAATTTTTACCTACTATTTAATTAATAGTTAATAGTGTATATTGGGTAACATGAACGTGCTATACGTACCAGCAAGCCAGATTTATTTTATCACTTGAAGAAGTTTAGATATAGAAAGTTTAGGTATAGCAGCGAATGTATTTGCACAAGATTTCTGATTTCTCCACACTTTGGAAAAGCATTCGAAATGTGTTTAAAACGCTAAAGAATAGTGATTAATAAGTTAAAAATAATCTATATAGTAAATGTTATAAATTCTAATATAATAGTTAATGTTTACTGGTTCTCGATTTATTTCGTGGTGTTCAGAATTGATTGAAATTTTATTCAGGTTCAGAATTGACGAAAGAAATTAATTGCTGGTACAAAGGGGTTGCGCATCTGTCTGTGTATTTACTGAAACAAGCTGCAGCATCTCTAAAGAATCTGAAATATTACAATATAAAATATAGTATTTTTAATTTATTTTTCAAGAAGTATAAGTTAAATAAAGCTTATTACATCATACTCGCATCGACTGTCGATTTCTTCTTCGTTCTTTGGAATGGGATAATTCTGAAAAATCTGAGATTGTCTAATGGCGCAGGCTTCTAATTTTCTCCAATGACACGAGTCTTGCTTTTAAAGTTTGATTGCTGTGCAAGTAATTAGGGTTTAATTATATTGTTTAAAGGTTTATTTATTTAATACATAAAATAAATTTAATTTATTATATTATTTTCGCATTGTTTTGATAATAAAATAAGCTAAATTGACGTCAGTCATAACTAATGACATTTTAATTTTTTACATTAAATGAATGTATTTCACCAGCAAAATTTTATCGTATTTTTTTTCCTAATGGCCATTGTTCGAAAGTTTAACTGTATAGCATATGTAATACTATTCTAGCATAAGAACTAACATATGAAATTTATATTACCTCCTCACACTTACCAAGAGTCAATACAGTGAAGAGGATTATGTTCTTCGTGTTAGAACTGAAGGTGCTAAATAAATGAAACATATCGTATGTTAGTGATCCAGTTCCTTCTGATAACGAATAGATTTTTTATAAAACTGTTTTATATATAATAATTTTGTAAAAAATTTGATATTGTTTTTGATTTATAATTAAATTTAACACATAAGAATTAATTAATAAATGAAAATATTTTAAAAGGAATACTTTTTTTCAAATATTTCGAAATCAAATGATATGAATAGCAATTTAATTATGATAAATACAGTATTGTTTTCTACCGAATTTATTTATTTTTTAATGTTATAAATTGATTTATTTTGTAAAAACTCAAATTGAATATCTGTAGACATGTGTAAGTTGTGGTCTAAAGTCACTTAACAGTGTCTTTGAGTAAGTTCTCGTTGACTAAACAAACATGATGTATTTTTGATTAAATGTTTTAAATGTAAGTAAAGAATTTGAATAATACAAAAGCTTAGATTGTAGAATGGTTAATTGACTTTTGCACCACTCTGTATACAAGAGATTGACAACAATGTATTGGTGGAATAAGGAAACGTAACACATGGGTGATGTGCGAATTGCCTGGTTGTGGGGAACTAATCCCTATTTAGGTGTGGAATACGCGAATAAAATCCTGAAAACACTCCGCGGAAACCTCGTATTTCAGGAACATAACCGCCACAAATTATTTCATGTGCTAGACTCCTGGTGATATACACAATTACAACGATTAATTGAGAATTGTTGACCACTTTTACCTTATATTTTATAAGAAAACATTTACTAAACAACGCTTACGTGGTACTAAAACATGTTTTCCAATAACTAACAGATAATTTAGAAGCATTTCCTTTCTGTATTCTATATCGGATTAACTTCAATTTATAACATAAATATTATTTAAAATAATTAATATAATTATCTGATATTTTTCTCTTCACTCTTACTACCTACGTCAACATTACAAGGAAATATTCCAAGGCTGTTATCGAATCACATTTGTTTATAATAATAGTAACTTCGTTCTAGATGCAAAGGTCACTCCATACATTAAACGAAAAAATGAAAGTGAATGCATATAAAAAGTGCTGTCACAACCAAACAGTGAACAAATAAACCCAAATTTGTAGACTTTAATAACATAAGTTCTTACTTAACTTTAATTCGTTTTAATTATGGAAAATTTAATTTAAAAATTTACTAATCGAATTGCTATTCGTTCGAAGGTGAAGGACAATCTAATAAATTTGCATTTATCTGCTGTAAACCAGATAATTAATATTTTTATTACTTCTTAAATATGCGTATTAATTGATAACATAATACAGTTTACATATATTGATTTTCTGTTCATTTTATTCTTAAACGTGTTTTCAAGCAGAATAAACAGACTTCAAAGCGTGGTAAGTGTATACTTTTTTGCTATTTTTTAATTCTATGATATCAAAATTCAGAAGAAATTAATAGAACAGTTATTAATGCCGTATATTTTATTATATTAAACAATTTATGTATGAAAAGTCCATGCTATTTAATTACTTTTAATGTTTTACATTACCAAATCGTATAGGGGAGACCGGGCAACTTCGGCATGCGGGGCAAGTTTGTCAAGCGCTGTTTTTTAAAAAGAAATTAAAAGGAGACTTTGGTTATAGGTTAGGCAGTTGAGTTTTATTGGTGGCTTGTTGAGTGTAGTGTTTTTATTGTTCTCCAACAAGCGTAGTTGAATTATCAAGCAAATTTTCATTTTCGTTGAATTCCATATAATATTTTTTTCCATTTATATTGAATTGGCAGGTTTTGTTATAATTCCATGATAACGAAAGTTACTTTTCCTGTTAGAGGGATGTAACTTCAACTTATTCACGTGGCCAGATCGTGGCTTGGCATTCTGTTCTTAGGGTTGTACTTAATGTTTCGAAATCATGACTAGCGGGGTAAGATCGGCAACATAAAGCCACATTAGAAGCAAAGGATAAAAATAAAACAGATGATAAATGAAAACATGTTTGCATTTGTTATTCATGTATATATGTCTTTGAACTTGCATTTCGTTGTAATAATATTAAATGGGTGTTGGATTTGTATTTCTTTGTTTTAATAGTGAATTCCAACTTATACATTGTTAATAACATAATTTTATATACGTGCCTATCTTGCCCCATTACTGTTGCCCCTATACCAGGGGCAACTTTAATAAAAATAATTAAAATAATTACAACTTTACAAAAAGAGAGAAGTTGCCGATCTTGCCCCTATACCCGGGGCAACTTCGTCAATTTCTCTCTTATTATAAAGTTGTTATTATTTTAATTATTTTTATTTCCAAACTGATTTTAACCAGTTCTATAGTAAGGTAACATTCCAATAGACAATATGCAAAGCTTTTTTTTCAGTTTACAGCAGTATTTATTACACAAAATTTAAGTAAAGCTTAACATACCGATCTTGCCCCGGTCTCCCCTACGCTTTATATTACGAAAATTTGCATAATCTGTTTAGAAAAGTATATTTAGATTTTTTATACAGAAGAAGTTCGTTCATTAGGCCCTTTTTAAACAATCTATGATAATCCAGAATTGTTGCATGATATCTGCATGCTATTATTCTGCAAATCGAAATTTAATACATTTAAATTCTGGGCAGCAATGTAGCATTGTAGACATTTGGCAACAAATCTTTCATTTGCAACGTATCTCTAGTTTCGGTATACGCGATTTCTCCTGTCCATGTTGACGAATCGCGAATCCTCGCTAATGCTATACGCGATTCTCTCGTTTATGTCTCACTGCATAATAGTAATAGCTACGAAATACCGCAATCATTCGGAAAATGAAAAAAAAGAATTATAAATTGAACCGGAAATACAATAAAATATTTGTTCTCCTAAATATAAGTTGTATTTCTGTTTTCGGATATAATATATTTTTAAAAATTCAATCGTTTGCCAGGTTTGAAGGAGTGTATACAGTGCAAGGAACTTGACATACTTTCGCGAGCAACGAACGAAATCAGGGGAATGGTTGACACGGTATCGGTGATGTATCGACATACACATACAGTGTACTTCCTGCAGTGATAACAGCGGTTTTAGACTGATTATAGATCGCGCGCGTTAGGAATTCACAAAAATTTACCAGTGGAGCTGTATACAAAGTGGCCAGCAAAGTACGGAACATTGAGATCACACATTACTTGAATTTTGTGATAATCCGGCTTTAGTAGCTTATAGTTGTCGAGATTCCAAACTTCTTGTATACGTTATCACGTACCAAAATTCTCTTCATCTAACCTAACGTAGTAAATTAATATCGATTTAACTTTTTTATTTTACGTGGTACTAAAGTCAAGGAAGTTGCGGTCTACGTTTACAACGCTAAAACGTGTACGTCAGACGTTTAGCGCCACCTTCCTGTAAGCCTAGACGTTTGACAATGGCATTTGGAAAGTCAGTGGAATCATACGCAACGTTGCAAACGCCATTGTCAAACTTTTATACTTACAGAAAGGTGGTGCTAAACGTCCGACGTACACATTTTCGGGTTGAAAACGTCGGCCGCAATATTTCTATTATTTTTATTTATTATATACTTCTGAAATAACAAATTTAGAATAACTGTTTATATTCACCCCTGTAATATAATAAAGTGAATAATCTGTTGAAAAAATCATTTTCTAGTTACTTATATTTAAACTGAAAAGTCCTTGATTAACTTTCAAGATTCGATTTATCTCAAACTAAATGAAAAATATAATTATTTATGTCTCCAAATTAACCGCGTGTGCATTTGATAACTTACAATCACATAACCAATGTTTAAAAGATTGATTAACCAGTTGTTTATTAGTCACACTACACTAAAATATCTTTCATCACCAATCATCATTTTGACACGTGTATCATTTCGTACTATCTGCAATTTACTATAAACAGCTAGTACAAAGTACTATTAAACTCGTACGCCTAAACTTTTGTTTCCTTGCTGTTACAAATCACGAAGCAAAAGTATTGCCATCGTTTCGTTCAATATTGAAACATCGAATTAAGACATTTCCTAAAAATAACACTAAAAGTTTATATCAGTAGCGCAAGAACTAAAGATGGTGTGTATTATACATTTAAAACACTGGATATAAACTATATTATTTTTTACATTGTATCAACCGCTTATCCCTGTCATAGTATGGTTATCTTTTCTGATTTTCTACGATAATAGACCTAATAATTCTTAGTCTTAATAACGTTTTTGTATGTTTCAAAGGTTTCCTAGTACTTTATACAAGACTTGTTTATATTTGGAAGAAAATACTAAGTGACCCACAGCTTCAGCATTTCATTCAATTGACAAAAAAGAAAATGGTATGAAAAGTGAGGTCCATATAAACAATGTAGCAAAAGAAGCAGAAAAAAAGCTAGAGGTCATTCAAACATAACTTTTAGAAAGGTCTGTTACATTGTATAATAATATATTTTTTCAGCAATTTCTGATTGAAATAATATTTTGTTGTAATGTCTTACAAAACTATTAAACCATCTATTATAAATACATAGACACTAAATACACAATAATAATTTTTAATATTTTTTTCCTGTTTTTAAGTTACTCAACTTGAATTTGCGATATTGTTCTTTTTAAGACGTCGGATTTTTTTACTCATTTACAGAAACATTAACAATTGGACTGGAATATTAAATAAACATTACTTGCTACAATGAATATAAGTATAACCATTGCTGCTTTCATCTGCATCATTTTGTTGTGGATAAGGTAAGTGATGTTACTTTTGATTGTAATGAAATTATAAAAAGTGTTAAATTTTTATTCAATAACTATGTTGTGATATTTTAAAGACTTTCGTTTGTTTATATAAATTAATTTCAAACAAAATAATTTTGAAAGTACAGTAATATTTTATAATTTTGATGGTAAAGCTTTATTTTTACAAAAAGGAAAATGTTAAAACACACTTCCTCTTCAACGAAAGTTGAACACCCTTTTCTTTTACCCTTATCTTTAAAAACAATTAGTCACTCAACTGAGAGTCAACCCCTTTAAAATTTCCCACTCATCCTCTTTTCGTGAGAAAATACGATACGCTCATTAGAGGAGAACTTCAAAAAGTAACGATTCTTTTTCTTGGTTCGGGGAGTATGCCAGAACTTCTCGATATAGAAGGACGTATTTCCGTCGAATCTCCAAACACCCATAGTCTGAGTGTGTCCGACCTCCAAAAAGGAGAAGGACAAATTCTATTTGGTCTCCAAAAAGGTTAGAGCTTATAATCAAATGCGCCAAATATCGCCCACCCAAAGTAGCTGTTTTAACAAGTGTCGTCCGAAATACTCAAGATGAAGAAATAAAGTACCAGATGAAAGAATACCTGAGCTTAAACGAACCTTTTCCTCGACACTCAAAAAGACAAGACAACAGGAAAGACCAAGTATCAAAGATCTTGTGGAGATAGTATGACCTACGCAAATTGTAATTTCTCTCTCGCGTATTAGGAAGCTTAATACATTTGTAATCTCCATTTATGTTTTTTATTTCGTTTTATTAAATATCTTTTGTTTCTGACTTAAAGTTTCATTAATGACTTAATCTAAAGCCTCCATCCTCTCCACTCCAACGAAACCTCCTAATAAAAATAATTAGAAGTAACTGCGTGATATCCCGTGAAATTGACTATCTGGTGTCGGGCTCCTGATGTATGGAGACAAGATCTTACAATCGTACGTCTCCGGATTTCTTCCCCACTCAATCTTAAGTCCCTCCAACACTCAGAGTTTAGCCATTCTGTTTTGACAACCAGAGGACTAGTTTAACAACTAGATGCCGAATAAGTGGTAAAGAGTACTATCTCGAATCTCTACCCCCGGCTAGCCCATTACAATATAATGGCAAGCTACTAAGAAAAGACTGGAATTAAACATTGTGCAAAACTAACTCAACAACAGTCAACACATTAATAAATTTTGCCTTGTATACCTAAACTAAACTACTCAAAAATATTACCTGGTGATTTGGTTTGGACTCAAAATCTTATTTTTTACAATGTCTAGAAAACTGTTCTGATAATATGTTACATGTTCTAGCAGAAAACCTGTAAACAAGTGCATTGTATTGTGAAATCACATGATTCTATGTGAATTTGGCTCTCTTTTCGAGAATACATACTTTTAATGGTTTCTGGAGATACCNGTAAAATAGTTCGGCTGCCCGATGACGTTTTGCGTAATTATAGGCGTTTTTTTTACCGTTTTTTACGGATACCGTCGCAATTTTTTTCGCAGTTTTATAGGAATCGTAATTATAGGGGGTCTGCTGTATTTCATAATTTTAATGGACTTTCTACAAAAAGGAAAACGTTAAAACACACTTCCTTTCCAACGAAAGTTGGAACATCCTTTTCTTTTGCCCTTATCTTTAAAAAAAGTAATCACTCAACTGAGAGTAAACCCCTCTAAAATTTCCCACTCATCCTCTTCCTGTGGGAAAATACGATACGCTTATTGGAGGAGAACTTCTAAAAGTAGCGATTCTTTTTCATGGTTCAGGGAGTACGCCAGAACTTCTCGATGTAGAAGGACGTATTCCAGGTCCCTCTCCAAAGGCTAATTCGGATCCATTGTTCGGGGAATACGCAAAATCTTCTTGATATAGAAGGATGTATTCCCGTCGAATCTCCAAACACCCATAGTCTGAGTGTGCCCGACCTCCAAAAAGGAGAAGGACGAATTCCATTTGGTCTCCAAAAAGGCTAGAGTTTATAATCAAATGCGCCAAATATCTCTCACCCAAAGAAGCTGTTTTAACAAGTGCCGTCCGAAATACTCAAGATGAAGAAATAAAGAACCAGATGATACAGTACCTGAGCTTAAACGAACCTTTTCCTCGACACTCCAAAAGACAAGACAACAGGAAAGACCAAGTATCAAAGATCTTGTGGAAATAGTATAACCTACGAAAATTGTAATCTCTCTCTCGCGTATTAGGAAGCTTAATACATTTGTAATCTCCATTTATATTTTTTATTTCGTTTTATTAAATATCTTTTGTTTCTGACTTAAAGTCTCATTAATGAATGAAACTAAAGCCTCCATCCTCTCCACTCCAACGAAACCTCCTAATAAAAATAATTAGAAGTAAATGCGTGATATCCCGTGAAATTGATTATCTGGTGTCGGGTTCCTGATGTAAGGAGACAAGATCTTACAATCGTACGTCTCTGGATTCCTTCCCCACTCAAATCTTAAGTCCCTCCAACACTCAGAGTTTAGCCATTCTTTTTTGACAACCAGAGGACTAGTTTAACAACTAGATGCCGAATAAGTGGTAAATAGTACTATCTCGACTGTCTACCCCCGGCTAGCCCATTACAATATAATGGCAAGCTACTAAGAATAGACTGGAATTGAACATTGTGCAAAACTAACTCAACAACTGTCAACACTTTAATAAATTTTGTCCTGTATACCTAAACTAAAGTATTCAAAAATATTATCTGGTGATTTGGTTTGGACTCAAATTCTTATTTTTTACAATGTCTAGAAAACTGTTCTGATAATATGTTACATGTTCTAGCAGAAAACCTGTAAACAAGTGCATTGTATTGTGAAATCACATGATTCTATGTGAATTTGGCTCTCTTTTCGAGAATACATACTTTTAATGGTTTCTGGAGATACCTTAAAAACTGTAGGTGTTTACCGAATTTGATTGAATTAATAAGGCAACCCAACAGTTTGGAGATCTGCCAAGTGGAAATGGACTCTTATAGTAACTAAAACCTATTTGAACATTAGACACGAAAGAAAACACGAAAAACTCTAGTTGTTCGAGGATGAACCCACGACAATTGACTTGTGAGTTTTGTGTTTTTATTAGTAGAGCATTAGTGGGGCACTTATTTGCTGTATATGGCATAAATCATAAATAAATTTGACACAGCAACACAATGGAAGCTATAAAAATGAATATTTGATAACAATATAAAGCCAAAAATTTAATTTTTTCGTTTCCTGAGACCGATATCATATTATTTAGGTTCAGACTTACTTATTGAATATTGGGTTATTCAATGGATACTCTAACCTTGTGTTGAATAGAACTAAATAAGTGTTTATTTCTCTAGTTGAGTCAAATAATTGTACAACATTAATATAATCTTTATAAATTCTTAGAAAATCAATGAAAATAAGAGTGAAATAGTATCATAGACTTAGTAAAAAGTTAATTATAGGAGCTAATTTAGTTAATATTATAGTTATGTTTATTTAGCAAGCACATGCCGAAGCTAATTTTAATTCGTATAAGCAAAAAAATATTAAAATATATTCGTTTGGAATTTTTGATAACTTGTACAGCTATTTCAGGGTCGAGATACTTAGATAAATTAGCCACTGATTATTAAATAAGTGCAACAGGTGAGAAATCTTTGGAATGTGTTTGCTAATCACTAAACAAAGCCATACTTGTAATTTATTATACTTTTCAAAACTAATTTCCAAACATACCAAGTTAAAATTTAGCTTACAATAATAAACATAAATATGAAACTTCTACAGATGGAGAAAACAAAAGATGACTTTGTTTCAACGTTACCGAATTCCAGGTCCAAAGCCAAACTTTATCTTTGGAAATTTAATTGAATTCAATAAAGGGGTTAATATATTCTATTTTCAAAACAAAGTTGAGAAAGAAAATTAAAAATATTAGAAGAATATTAGAGAATTAAAAAAATAATTTAAAATATAAAATACAATTTTGATGTATTTGTGTAGAGAGACAGATGCATAGAGAAATGGCTACAACAATATGGAAAACTATTCGGGTAATTAATTTATTTTTTTATCTGTTTAAAATTTCATAAATATCATTTTTTGTCTATAAATTTGTAATTATAATTTAATATTTATTATCAATACTATTAATTCAAAGTATTTATAGTTTTTATCTAGGAGCAAAACCTTTTTTAGTATGTAGTGATGTCGAATTACTGAAACTCCTTCAAATAAAGGACACTTACAATTTTTACAATAGAGATGTATGTACTGTTTTGTCATTTTAAAAAACTATAAATTCTGAAAATAATAAAATTTATTTATTTTTATCCTCGCTAAAGTTAGTATTGCCAGCTGCTGGACTTCCTCATGTTGAGTCTAAAAACATGCTTATAGCGTTAACCGATCAGAAATGGAAAAATCTAAGAAGTATTCTCAGTTCTTGTTTCACTACAGGAAAGATTAAAATGGTATTAATTTATTACTTGAGTTTTTTTAAACGCATCTTTTGAAATTTCATCACAATTTACATTTTAGATGAGTGCTCTAATGTCTTCACAGATTAAATTCTTTCTAAAAAATGTCGAGAAGCAGGGAGATCAACCGTTTGATATATTAAAATTGTGTAAAAAATTGGCTTTTGATATAATCTGTACATCAGCTTTTGGCGTATCAACAAATGTTCAAAATAATGAAACTAATAAATTCGTTGAATCGGCTCACGCTGCATTTTCAGCTGATTCTGCTGATATTTTAGCTGTAATAACAAGTAATTTATTTTCCATAAATCATTTTATTATTAGTTGAAAATGAAGTAATAATGTTCAATTTTGTAACCATTTAGTTAGTTTCCCGGAAATAGAGCCAATATGTACGTTTCTTCGATATAAAATAGATACGTTAAAGTACATGCTGAATCTACCATCTTTGTCCTTGATTTATGAAACCTGTCAAAAAGTTGTAACCTTCAGGAAGAAATTAGATGTGAGTTCATTGTCAATAGTTCAATAAGAAGTATTTCAATATCTATAGATATATATATTTTATTTTAGTCTCCTCCACAAGATCTTCTGCAGACAATCATAGATGCGGAAGATGAGACTATTGTAGAAATGAAAAAACTTCCGGATAATTTTGTGATTGTAAATGCAGTGATGTTTATGGCAACAGGGTAATTATACTCATTAGTTTATTTATGTTTTATATAAAATATCCAAAGCTTATTATAGAATATTTACAATTTGCAGATTTGAAACCACAAGTGCCATAATAGGATGGTGTATTAAATATCTTGCTGGTAATCCTAAAATTCAACAGAACGTCCGTGAGGAAATTACCAACAATGTTTCTGAAGATGTAAAATTTTATTTGTAATTTAGAATCTGGATATAACATATAAAGATACAATACTAATTTATCTGTTGCACTTAATCTATGAAAATGAGTTATTTTGTATAACTAATAAGTACAGTCAAATCGGTTTTCGAACATTATTCGTTTCTAAAACTTGTTCGAGAACCGAGGTAAGACTGTAATTATTATTACAGACAATAATTGGACAGGTTAGTTAGCATTAAAATGTAACTTGATTTCTTAGTAGTTAAATTAAATACAGAGAGTATTTTATATAGTAATTATGTTGATACCATTAAAGTATGCAATTATTAAATAATTTCTTAATTTTGTTGTGTTAATATTGGATATAAATTTGATTAAAATGGAATTTAATAGTATACTAAGTGTTTTATAAGTAACGTTGAAACATGATATCATGAGATATTCTTATGATATCATGTTTCAACGTTCTTCTGATAAATAATTTAATATATTACTATGTATTGAGACACTGCAACTGAAATTTGTCTCTGGACTAATCTCGATTACAAATTGAATAAAATTAAGCAATAAAAGTAAAACAGATCTAAAAGGAATCCCGTGAACTTTGATCTCTAAATCTGGACGTTTCACGAGAATCTTTAGTAAAAATAAAGAATAAAAATATGTAATATTAAAAACTGCTTTAATATTGTGTACGAAAATCCCAGTTTTCAATGACCAGATGTAAATAATTCAAGATAAATGTGTAAACTATTGCAGTGGAAATACATATTTGAAATTCTTTTACGAGTGAAAAAGAATGATTTCAGCATTTACATTAATTTTTCAGGTTGATATCCAGTATTCTGACTTGATTAATTTTAAGTTGCTGGATCAAGTTATTTCAGAAACTCTTCGCTTCTGGCCACTCTCTCTACTGTAAACTTCAGTGTAAACTTACGAATCTACCATATAAATAAAACCAATATGACACTTATAAGTGTCTCTATACTTAGGCCAGTGAACAGAATATGTTCAGAGGATTATCGTTATAAAGATATGACCATTCCTAAAGGTAGTATCATAGCAATTCCAGTAAAAGTTTTGCAAAGCGATCCAGCTCATTGGAGTGAACCTGATAAGTTTAACCCCTACAGGTGATATTCTAATTATAATTAAATTGTGTTTACACCTAGTTTATTAACAAGTTTCCAAATTGTGATTATCGACAATTTTCAGATTTTCTTCTAAGGAACGGAAAAAAGTTGATTCACTTATTTACCAACCATTCGGAGCAGGTCACAGAATGTGTATAGGACAGAGGTTAGCAAAAACTATAATAAAATTAGTACTGGCAAATCTCATACGATCATTTAAATTAGAAGAATATGGAGATGATGTAAGCAATGGCAATTTTTCTATTGTAAATATATCGCGTGTAATACATTTAAAGATTAATATTTTTTAACATTTTCTTTTCTAAAAATTCGATAAAATTGAATTTGTGAATATTTTAGAGAATTCTGTTTGTAATAGTTTTATTATAAATTGTTTTATGTAATGATTTAATTTTATTTACAGGAAGATGAAAGAGTGTACGCTATGTTCTTCAATTATCCTAAAAATGGAGTAATGGTCAAAGCAACTCCATCAGATTCATGAATAGTAATAATGATTCATGTCTTCAATGCTATACAAATACATTAACACATCTATTGAATATAAGTGTATTTGTTATAATACATACCTTGTAAAGACATTTGTATTGAATAATGATTAAATTTAGTAATAAAGACAAATGTTAAGAATAATTAAATAATTCGTTAAAGTAGTATTCTATTACAGAAGATTAAAATTAAAAATTATTTCTATGTTTTAAATAATTAAAACAATTTATATTGTAAAATAATAATTTGCTTATGGGGAGTTCTATGTACTATGTAAATCTATATTATATAATGCATATAATATAAGGTAGCCTAAATAGTTTCTTGTTATTAATTTATATTTGATCAATTTTATAAATCTAAGTCACTCGTGCAACATGGAATTCATATAAAACAAAATTATCAACAGTGTTATAGAGGGAGTCGACTGTATTTTTGGAACAGAGTAAATATAACTGCAAAGATATAAATAAAATCAAATGTATATATATGCATATATTTAAGTTGCTTCAAATCATAACATATATAATCCATCTCAATTAGCTTAAATCTATAGAAACTTTTAATAGATTCATTTTAACCTTTATAATAGTAAATATTGCATGTAAGAAGAGGATCTTAAGCTGACTAGTATTAATTTAATATATATAAGATACACTGAGGCGTAACTTAGCTTGAACTTTATATATTTAGTTATGATAAATGAACTTTTTAAGCAGAAGTTCGACTGCAAAGCAAATAAGTGAAACCGCATATCCTAGAAGTAGAAGTGCAAATACACTCTTCAATTCTTCCATGTTCAATGGCTGATTATCGTTTTTTTCGGTAATAAAATTATGATTGTATTGATCACCATACATCCCAATTCCAGATTCAAAAACATGGGTTATTCTGAAAACAATACTTAATTAATTTACATATACAATAACTTATTAATATTAGTAGCGTATCTCACATTTTGTTAATATCATTTCGATATACGAAGCCCTTTTTTAATCCATAACTGGTAGAAAACGTGATCTTAATGTCTGTAGATATCTTAAAATTACTTCTTCCGTATTCTTCGACTAACTTCTGAAGAGTATATTCAGTACAAATATAAGCAAAACGTTCATTTAACACTTTCCTCATACCTTCATCAAGTGAAAAGTAATGTCTGTTTGACCTTATATGTTCGCTTAACAGTCTTCCTCTTCCATGTTTCCATCCCTAAATAAAAGAAAATTTTAATTTGTATTAAAAATTCAGGTCAAGCATAGTTTTCGAGTAGAGCATCAGCAAAAACATTCTGAATTCTTCAACCCTTTTCCTTTCATCATAACTAATGATCAGAAATCAAGGTACCACTCTCGCTAGTTATCAGTCCAAAAGTTTAAAACATTCGTAGATACACTGCAATTATTAACAGGAAAATTTAACGATGACTGAAGAGAAAAATAAACTATGGGTGCAATCTTCAAACACCTGCTTCGTCAGCAATCATGAGAAATAAACGAATTTTCTCTTTCTATTAATTAAGTATTGAGGCAATATTTAGATAGACCAGATAACGCTTAAATTTTTACATTGGTTACTGTTAAAAAAAACAGTATATAGTATTTACTACATTCTCTATACTCACAATTACATACTTGGTAATGGCAGAGGAACCAACAGTACCACATTTATATTTTCCACCTTCGACTGCTTTTGCCAGTTCAGAAAATGTCATGGGAACCCATTCCATGTGAGGACACGTTATAAACGAGATAAGTTCTCCACTGTAACTAATTAATAAAATAGTTACACAAATTAACCATGCTCCTACAAGGAATTGAGATGAAAATCCAATGATAAACTTTAAATTTCCTCCTAAAAAAGAAAGAATAAGTAACTTGTAACCTAAAAATATTCAGTATATAATAAATTCTTACATTACCTTTATATGTTAAATTGCTGAAAAGATACCAAAATACTTGTGCTAGTGACCAACGTTTGTATGCTCTATTTAAATGATTATCTGCCATTTTTATCATGCGCAATATTACACCAACTATTATTACAGTTGTAACAGTAAATATCCATACCTAAAATTAACTATTAGTATGAGTAATAACGTTAAAAAATAACAAAATATTTATAATGTAGTATATCATAAAATAACGATAATAATATCAAGTGTCAACTCTTGTAATGGTTGATTAACCAATAAAGAACCTCTTAATGCCCCACGTTTAGAGATACAATCTGGAACGTTTGCAGTCAGAAGTGTAGTATAGAAAATAAATACTTTGTGTGATAAACTTTAATTAATTAAAAATTAATTTATTTCTTCCTTCTATTGCTGCCTTTACTCTGATGTTCCGCCTTTTAGTTGCAAGTGGTCCCAAAAAATCAAAATTGCTTCGGGGCTCCTTTGCTGGTGAATCTGGCAACTAACATACAGGATGCAGACAAATCATTGCAGCAAGCTATATAATTAGCTAATTACAAGGGAACGATTGTATAATAATCGGTAATGGGCTATTCAATGAGGTTGCAATGTAACTTCAATCCCTCAATTCGATGGACCAAATTCAGTCCCGGCTTCTATAAAAGACACCGTACAGTATAGGTTGTAAATCGGAAGAGTGTATGAAATTCAGTACAGAACATTTTTGTTCTATTATCATACTCAGAAGGGAAGAACAATTGATCTAGCCAATATTGATTGTTTGTTAGTGATTGATTATTAGTAAATGTTGTTTTTTACACACAAATATTATACGAATATTCAATATGAAGAAACATTTACCTCTAAGGAGAATGGTTTAATTAAGGTGTTCCATTCGAAATGAGTTGAAGGAGCTCTTACCACGAATGTCAGTCGTGAAAACAACACCGGCTTAGTGAAATCAATGAAACGAAAACGATCGTATGTTATGAAGAAGGGCATAAATGCCATATCAGCTTCCTATAATATATAAATTAAAGTTATTTATAAAAAGTTTTCTTTAAATATTTTATATACTTTTTCTTAAATATTTACAATTATAAATCATTGTGTTTTATTGAATAAAATCAAACTATACCATATGTATAATTTGTCCAACCATTCCATTCCATGATCCATTTCTCGTTTTCACTCCGAAAATCAGAGGTATTGGCTTCTTCAATACATAACTGAGATATTCGAACATTCAAACAATGTAAACAAATTAATTTAATAATATCGACATTAAAATAAAGTGTTTTTATAGTAAAGTTACTTTTTAAATTTATACAACAGTTTTGCAAATGTGAGATCTGGGGTCTGTGAAAACACCGTTCACTTGTTTTCGATGACTAAATATTCTGTGTAGTCAGAATAGCGATATCCTTTCGACGTCAGGGTCATGACACCAGCTAAAAATTACGCGTATAGCTCGTAATGCTGCCTATCGGCAGTTTAACGTCCGAGTGCAACGTCTAAATTCTAATGATTTTGATTTGAGGACTAATTCGAGTGGTGTAGGGGTTTTTGTTGGTCCGCAAGAAAGAAAGTCGGCAAATCTACTAATAACTAGCTATTTATTAAGATATATATTAAGCATATAGACCATCGTAAGTAAAAAAGCTAATAAAAACGTTAACATAACATTCGACCTATTGGCTAAACTGTGGAATACTGTCACTAACTGAGAAATCGTACAATAAACGAGCATATTACCAGGCGAAACCTTGTCCTCTGTTAACGTATACCATTTACCTTATTCTTGGATGGAGACCTAGCGTCAGGTGGAAACTATTTATATCTTCCAACCCGGGGTTAGGGCAGATTTAACTTTGGATGTTAGAGTGAATAAATGCAGCCTCGGGTACAGTTGCCTTTCTCTTTTTATACGAAATGAACTGCCAATCGGATTTATTTCCGATGCGGTCATATTCGAACCAGCTGTTGATTTCGCAGGAACTTTAATGTCCGTTCAATCAAAGATAATGTAAAAGATGTGGAAATTGATAAATTATTATCTTTCCTACTTTCCCATGGTTATACAATAAATTAACTTTGCCATATTTTTTAAAATTCTTTTAACATTTAATTTTTGTGTTAAAAGTTATATTTATATTATCCACTATAACCCAGAATTTCAAACTGATGTAGCTCTTAATAATTTGATCTTATAATCATCTGGAGTACCAAGCATTGTGACGAACACTTCTGTAAAAAAAACGACAGATTACCTTGTACGTAGTATCGAGCAACTGTAATTTAAATTGAAAACTGAGTAAAGATTGTGATTCCTTCGTCTAACACAAGAGAATCTGCAATCGTTTCAGGGAAGAAAGTTCATTAGCAATCGAGAGAAGACTGTTCTATATACTATTTATACAGACATATGTTTAATTTTAATTAATTAATCAATCCACAGGAAGAAACCATCATTTATAAATAATTCATTAAACCAAAATTATTACATTCTAATAGATGACAGAATCAGTGTAAACTGGGTTACATTAAATAAATTACCGTTTATTTCTCTTGCGTGTTATCTTACAAAAGAGTAAACAAACCCGGTAAGTTACTCTTAAAGATGCACTTCTTAGAAGCTACCAGCGTTTCAAATTTTACGAACCTACTATAGGGTGCGGCCCACCAGTGGCCAAGCGATTCCATTCTCTGAACACTGGAAGTTTGATCATGAATTCGAGCCTCACCAAAACAGGCTGGCCAAGTAGAGTCTTCATGACTGTAACTCCTGAATATCTTTAAAAAAAAAAAAACCTTCCGCACGGCATTTCTCTAGGCAGATCACCCATACGTTGAGTTGCCGTAAATTAATAAACAAACAAACAAACTATAGTATGGCCGCTATAGTGGCCATGTAGAATTTCATTCGTGCCTGTTTGGATATCTGTGAATTTCTTTGACAGAAAGATAAAACGTGGTTTAAATTCATTAGGAAACTAATACTATTTTGTAAAATCATTGTTTTTTCCCTCTCAAATACAATATTACAATACAATACAAAAATACAATACAAATTAACTGATTCAAATTGACATCCGGCGTCATTAGGTTTATTTAAATTAATAAAGTTCTATTGTATAAATATACTAAATTACCTGAAATTAAGCCTCTCTTGAATAATTTTAAACATATTGTAATTTAACCCTGCCACTATTTCCTTTCCAGTCTTATCTAAAGTCATGTAAACTTTGTTCTGCAAAATAAAAAAAGTTTGTGAAATTTTAGTAAAAAATACAACTATTATTAAAAGTATTTATTACCTGAATTCCAGCAATTTTCCAAACATAGTTATGCTGGTTTACTGCAATAAAACAAAAGTTATTAATTACAAATAGGCGAATATTATCAACGAGTACTGCAATATTTGATTACCAGGATTTATTCTATATATCAAATCACAAAAATTAGGTTAATGAATTAAACGTACAACGTTTGTTTAAGTTATTGCAACGCAACACTTGGGCAATCTGCGTAGCGGGAATACCTTCCAGGAGGTCGTTTAACGATCACTTCCGCCTATTCAGGCGTTAGAAACGTGGAAAAAACCAAGAAAACTCTTCTCGGCCAGCCTGTCCTGGCAGGGCGCGAAAACAGGAATAAACTCTTAGTGTACAGGGAATCGAACTGCTGGTGTATTCGTTGTATTAGAATGTAGTTTTGAGCGCTGGTGATGTCGAAAAATGCAAAACAACTTTTAGGTTTATATCTGTATATATGAATGTTAGTGTGTTTGTATGTAGGGAAACAATTTTCTTCATTCTATTTGAAACTTGATGACTTTTGTGTTGAAAATTTTTGAAACTTTGCAAAGAAATTTGTCTATCAAGAGGAGTAATGCTATTAAATTTTAGTGATTAGAGGGCGGGAGGATGGAGAGATTATGAAGTCGTGTGTGTCTGGAATTCATGACGATTCTACTCGTTATTAGCATTTATAAATTTTTATACAATTCATCCCTATCCCAAATCAAACTTTTTGCCATTTAAGCGTATAAGTTTACTTTCGTTAATTATATTTGAATATGTAAGCACTAAGTTTTTTATTGGGAGACTTATCACACACTATTGAGGAAACAGGAGAAATCATACAAAGATGAATAAATACTGGTTAATTATTGTAAAAATGATATGTATTTTGAGTTACAGGCGTCTAAATTACATGAGGTTTACTTTACAAAGAATATGAATAATAAGTTAATATATAGTTATTAATAAACACATATCGTTTGTTAACAAATATGTTTGCCTTATTTCTTTTGGATTGCTACAGATATATTTTGTGTACTGTATAAACATCGTTGAGGATTATAATTATTGCATCATCAATTAAAGACAAAGTAATTAATCTATAAAAGCAAAAAGTTGAAAGTTATTAATTAAGATCACTAATTATTTGGGGTATTCGAATAATTCAGATGTGGTTAATATACTAATTGACAAAAGTGATATTCCTTCATTTTTATTTTTGATGTTATACATCATTAGATATTTAGTGAAATCAATGGCTTTGCTTTGCCACCACCAGAAAATTCCACTTGGCCATCTCGTTGGAGGCCAAGTGAAATTTTTCGTTTCTTTTTCAGTTATATCTAACATCTAAACAATGTAAAAAGACAATTTTTTTGCACTTCATCCAAATAGGCTTTGTCTCAATCCATTGGTATACACATACAATTTTAGTGTATACCATAAAATTTTATTTAAATAATATTAATCTTATCGTATTTAAGACAATAACATAATCCATATCTAACATAATATAGAATTTGCGTACGACGCATTTTACATTATAAATCCATCTGTTATAACTTTATGCATAACGTATAAGTATATGCATAAGAAAAGTGTCATGTTAGAAGTTTCTTTTAGAAAATTGCTGAACCAATCATATTCGACCTCTTATTAATATCAATGTGTTGTCATCGTTATACATGCACACAGCAGAACACACTAGGTCTTTGACGGTCATATTGTGTTTGCTTCGGTACATGTGTTTACAATTTTGCTTTTAGTTATCATCTGTTAATTATGACTAGCCTAAAATAACTCGAGGTAGACTTATGAAATTAGAATATTAAAACTTTTATAGGAAGTATTCAATGATGTATATGATAACAGGGCAACCAGCAAAGAGAAGCTGTGCCAGAATATTCATTTTGTGAAATAATTTGAGGCGAGTTTACCAGTTTACCAGTTTGAGGCGAGTTTACGAGTTTTTGAGGAGAGTTTCGAAAACTCGGCACTCAATAACCCGGCAGTCCGGATAACTCGGCCACACCCTGGTAGGGCAAAACAATCCTTAGTTAATTAATTAATTTTTATTATAGACAGCTTTATGCTTCATAAAGTATTTTTCTGAGGTTTGTCTTATTAGGTAAATTACTGTGCACATTGTATTCATTAATTTTCATTTTCATGTAGTAAAGGCTGTATGCCTTCATAAAAAACGTACTTTTCCTTTGTTTAAGGGTATTTGGGCAGTTTATTCTCTGTTGTACTCTCAAGTAAGCAATACAGTACAGTATTTTCTGAGGAAACACTCATACTTATTTTTTTAACCCCATTTCCGATAACCCGCATTTTCACAAACTCGGCCACCCTTCGGTCCACATTAGGCCGAGTTTTCAAGACTCTACTGTATTCTTATAACATGACGAATATAGGTGTGCAAACGCCATCTAACCTAGTAAATACAACGTAAAATGCATCTCTATAATACCATCATTAATAAAAAGATTTCAAATAAACAAATATTAAACAAACTTTAAGGGTCTTACTAAAGCACTTTTAGAGGGCCTCCTAATGATCTTTTATAGGAAATTGGCCGTTATTTAAATGTCAGACATAAAAATAAAACTCATAAAACTCTACATGGCCAACTACTTGGTAAAATAATCAACAGAGTTAATCTTTTTCCTTAGACACTGCTGAGCTATAACTAACAGTTGTTTATTGTTACCTCATATATAATTATGTTTATAAAATTAATACTTATTCTTATACTAGTATAAAATGAAAAGTCAAAATGATATATAATGTTAGTTATGTATCATGCATGTTCTCGAAGAAGCAATTGAAAATTGACATTTTCCATAATTAATTTTAAGAGATTCAATTATAGTAATATAATTATTAAAACTACTAAAAAATATTAAGTTTAATAATTCTTTAATAAAATATTTTTTAAGCA